TTCATAGAAATTTATTAAGAACTAGGTGAAACCCGTCGAAATCGACGGTTAGGGGTCTCCTCGTTTATATGGTTGTGTGGCTTCATTGGCAACAAATAATGCAAATGAAATAGCAATGTGGCATTTCCAAAGGGAAAAACATACTGTAAATTGGCTGTTACGTAAATATTGACGTTTGTGATCTAGTTTAAAAGGAATATGATATTTCTGTCATGACAGTAGCTGCTTAAATAGTATTTACTCTTTTTGCCATTTTTACAGCCAAAATGTCATGTTATTTTCAATAATGTTACCAACCTAGTGGGCCACGGTCCGTAATATAGACCACTGCAAATAATTTGTCAAAGATAGGTACCGGTACCATTATTCTAGGCAAGATTTCTGTGTTTGGATGTTATTAGACACGATAAGAGCTCAATGAACTTCTTCTACAGATAATTAATCTGTTGGGAATATATAAGTCGAATTATAAATGTGAGTTTGGGCATTTTCTAACTGTATAAGTATGATACATAGTATTTTTAGGCTGCTGCTCAGTCCACTTAAGAATATATTTTTTAGAGATAAATTAAATGGTTTTTGTTGCTGAGAAGCGATATTTAACATGCAGAACCCTCTTCGTTAGTCTAATGGCTCTCTAAAAGTTGAAGTTCTTATTTGTATACATACCCTTATTATGTTTTTACTAAGCGGAATGAATACATCGAAGTAACCTCTCTGAAAAGTCTGCAGTAAATTGCAGTTATCCAGTTTAATGACTTTTTGAAATCATGCACATATTTCTACATAAATATTGTAAAATGTTTTATTAAGTTGCTGTACACTAATATTAATTTATCAAAATATGGACACGGCTCATATGGACAACGTGCCCTTCTGCATTTGTATTATTTTGTATTGTATTACACAAAATCAAAGACTTTTCCAATGATTGAAAACATCTATGACAATAATCTCATGAACCTATGATGATATGTCTAGATAATATGATAAAATATAGGCAAAAGTGGTAATAAAGGCAGACACCAACCCGTACAATAGATATAAGATATAGTTCAATACGAAATAATTGTAATAGTTACTATAAAATGATTGTCAACTGATTTCGTAATGGAACGTTATATATATTGCAAAACATGGCATGATACAGAAGAAAATCTATTTTAAAATCAGTAAATAGTATTGCAAATACTTCTTTTGGACAATTCAATAACTCCCAATATAAACTAATATAATATAACTCCCATTGTTACGGCCGTTTCAGCATATCCATGCCATCATCAGACGTTCAGTTTAAGTGGCGTCGTTAATATACAAAAACACAAACTGTCACACGCGACGTACACATACATAAACATAAACGGGGGTTTTTTACTAAACAGGCCTGTTGATTAGACATATCCGCACAAGAGCAAGTAGCTGACTGGAGTCATTCTTGCGGTGTCGTGTCAGTGGCGGCATTATCATTTGTACTTTGCCCTCTTGGTCTTGAATCCTTCCTCTTACTTAAAATACTATTGAAAATTACATGTGATTTGAATTGTAGTTTGTCATTTAAAATAAGTTCGCTATTGTCATTTTTTGTATGTTCTTGGAAGAATCACATTCGTAACACCTCTAAAAATTTAAATTCAGTATGTTTTCAAATTATGGTCTTAGGAAATGTTGTTGATTTAAACACTTAGACTAATGATTTATCACGCTTTATTTTCGTCAATTTTACGGTATGAAATAGAGCTTTGGGGCGTCACCTCTGATTCGTATAAACTTTTTAAACTTCAAAAAAGAATACTTAGAATTATGACTTTTAAACCCGTAAAACATTCTTGCAAACAACTTTTTAAAGAACTGAAGATTCTAACCGTCCCTAATTTGTATATTCTTAAATGTTTATTGTACGTGAAATCAAATTTTGAAAAACTCTACAGTGAAAATAATTGGCACAATTATAACACTAGATTTCATACAGATTTTCAATATCCTATACACAGATTAAATCTTGTGAAAAGGACACCTTCTTATATGGGTAAAAGATTTTTTAACAATTTGCCTGGGTACTACAAATCTATAATAGAATTAGTATCTTTTAAAGAAAAAATTTTTGAATTTTTGTTAGAAAAGAATTATTATAGTATAGATCAGTTTCTCGAAGACAAATCAATGTGAATTGTTTGTTTTGTTACTATGTACCGTATTTATTTTTACCAATAAGCTAGTTTATTTTAGTATAGTTTGACAATGTCACCTGTTTTGTCTGGCTGTGCCAGAGCATTCAAAAAAACGTTTTGTGACAAAAAAGATGACTTTGACTTTGATGACGACAATATGTTTTTTGTTTAGGGAACAATGATGGTGTCTACATGGTCAAGGCATATGCTATTTGTATTTCCGCAATAACATTGTTGTGACACATGCTTTTTACACCAATTTTAAGATTACTCAATTTAATACTGCTTGTAATACATCATAAGATTGTTGAAGATTTGAGACGGATTAAATTACCGTATGACAATACATCAAACTCGTAAAGAAGAAATCTTGGCTCGATTGTTTTCCAAAACCTTGACTTGATCAAAAATGTCTACATTGTTTTTTCACAGTAAATAGTTATTTGTGTAACTAGTGGGCAAAGTGGCACTTTGCTGCACACGAGAGCAATGTTTACTTAATCAACGTTTACTCGTCTGCGGCTCGTGCGGAATAATCTCGAGTGCAGCAAAGGCCTTTTGCACTCGTGTTACACATTATATTTTTCCTACAGTCACTATAAAGCATATAAATAATTAGTCTTTCAAACACTATACAACACATTTTTAGGTTCAGCTGGCAACACAAAAAGGTGCCCTAGAGAAATTAGTACCCGGTCCGAATCACTCCGCTATTTTTCCTCAGCAAGAATTGTGCTCCGCGACTTGAGAATATAGTTCTGTATGTTTTTGTAATTTGAAGTGGTTTCCGCGCCTAAAAAATGCTTTCAAGGTATTTTCTTGTTTATTAAGATCGAAGGAATGTTTTAAAAACGTTTAAAACAAACGTCCAGAAAGTTCAGAAATACCGAAACTATAAACACAAAATGAAATGACAGGTTAAATCATAGTTATAATAGTCAATCAGCTGCTCATAGTATCATTATCTTTAAGTGTTGCCAACCTATTTCCAAGCGTACACGGATTACGTGCATAATAGAACCACGCTGTTTTGTGTTGTTTCGTTGGAATCCTGATGTTTACCTGTATACCTGATGTATGTATACCTGACTTTGTCATTAGCCTATTGGGTCTGGTGATTATTGGAGTGTCCAATCAAAATTGATCACCACTTATAATCATCTTTTACATGTATTTACCATCTTGTGAGTAAACAGTACAAGTGTAAATATATTTATAAGTGTTATTTGACGTATTTTTGTACCTTCAGGTTATCAGTTACAGTAACATTTAGATGGGGACGCCAAAATGTGACCATTTAAGAACAGTAATAAAGTGCCAGTAATTCGGTACCCAATAATATGCCAGTTTGGATCTTGGCGAACATGAAAAGAATTTCACAAACCAACTTTACTATTAAAATCCTGGTGGTGAATAACCCTGGATATTGGGACTTTCCCTTTTTTTCTGAGCCATTTCAAATGAATTTGGAGTCCTTTTGTTGAACTCCTTAATATTTTAAAACTGGTCTTACAAATTTCACACTGCTCTCAGTAATTTATCTAAGTTAAAAATAGTAACAAATCAAATTTGTATCATCGTCCTTCTTATGCAGTATATACTTTATAACCAGTCATTCTAATTTGTGAAATAAACTCCCAACAACATAAATAACCGCACTCACATGATAATATCTCTCTTCACTAAACATGCTAAGTCGATCCCTTGTCTTTGGTCCCAAAGAGACTGGGGCGGTGGCGTCGTCCTGTAACCCAGCTACTAGGTCACAAATTGTGGATATTTATAGGCATGCACTGCGGATGCGAGACTCCCTGCTGTGGATTAACGTTTGTACTAGTGAGTACTACGACTATCCGCAGTACTATCCTGATAATTAGAACAATTCGTTAATTAAGGAAAATATGTGGTTTGGATTCTACCATAAACTGTAGGCCCCTTAGTTGCTATTGGCTGTATGGGCTATTAATTAACAGCTGTGTCTAAGAAACGTTATATAGTCAATGATGTCGGCCTTAGTCAATAACAAGACTACAAGATCACACCACTCATCCCTCACTCATATTTGGGTTAAAATATGCACATGGTGGTGTCCCCATCTTAAATAATTGATAATTGAGAGGAATTTTTTTATAAAATAAAGCTCTTAATTCATTCATTCAGTTGCGGCAGAAAAGAGATTAAGTTTACAGCCACAAAACAGTTTTATGATGCAAATGATGAAACATATATTCATGAAATAGGGCGTGAGCGAAGCACACAGTTAGGGTATATAAGAATAACCCTCTTAGTAATGCAATTGGTGTTTTAGAACCCTTCTTGTGTTTATGACAAATTTGATCAAATTACCATATTAAAAAATAATGCTTCGAAATGTGAGCTGCACTTTTCATGTCAAGCGAAATTCCCAAAGTTAACAATACAATAAACTGTAGGATTTGTATTCCAGTTAATCCTGGGATTGCAATAAATAAAATGTGAAAATTCAATGTGGGTATATCGAATCCGGGATAGACCCACAAGACCCCAACACACATACCTAGCGACTGGAACACTAGCCAGCGGCTTAACCAGTCAGTCAGTACCATAAGCTTTGATTTTGTAGAAAAAGTATAGTCTTGTATTTCCTTCAATTAGTTATAATAACATGGCGATAAATAATACTTGGTAAAAATTAAGCATTCTTTCAGTCCACATTTTGCCAAATTTGTCCTACTTTACATCCAATATTTGTTCAATGCGGACTTAAAGAGTGCTTGTAGACATTTTTCTGTGCAATAACTATATAATTAGTAAAACACAAGCCAAGGAAAATGGATGGGTTTATAAAATTGGTTTATACTCAATGATTCTTTATTACTTGTTATCCTGTACAATATGATAAATGTCGTGCATACAGAAAGCAAGACAAGCCAATCAATATATTACAAGAGCCGAATCAAAACCGGCATATATATTTATATATCTCATTTACTTTAAGCATAATAACAACATATGTTATATGTATAACCACAAAATATTTTCTCAATTCAACGGTTAAGTAATATTAAAAGAATAAAAGTACACAGATTTATTTAGGAAATGTTAATACATCTATAAATCAATATTATATCAATATTACTATTATCGACAGTGTAAAACAACAATACAATATTCAATATTTATATATACCACATTCGGAAAGTCAACGGGCAGTCCAGTGTATGCTTTGGTCCTACGGTCGCAACGCTTCCATCTCACCACAGCGATTGTACAAAATATATTCAACACAACGTCTACTAAAATTCTAAACGAGTTTATACAAATCATATAAAACCGATCGTAACAGAAAATAAAGGAATTCTAAATAATTAATAACTAACTATCTGTATTAAAATGCAGATTGGCTTGGAGCCGACTCGTGTTTGACACTTGGAACATCAAAGCGGACACTGCCGATTTTTCTTAGAGGTGGAAAGGAGTTTTCCAACAAACTCTCAACGGTCGATACGACAAAGGAATTTACTGTCGAATTAATATATCTATGAGGGTATCTAATAAATAATATGCAAGGTAAAAGTGAAAGATATATACAGAAAATGAATGCGCCCTATCACCAGAGGTTCGAGTCCGCAACACTGATCACTTCTCCCACTAACAGCTCGTCAGCAGCGCTCCACCGGCTACGCATGGAGGAGCAGGCCTGGAACAACACCACAGTTGGCCAATGTGACAAATATATAATATGTATAATAATACAAGTAGCCTATAGATAATAAATTAGAAATATTCCAAACAATAATACAAGTTTGATCAAACGATAAATCGATCTATTGTTGTATTCATGGTTTAATTTTTGTTTTATTGTTTTAACTTCTATTTTATGACACTAAACTTATATGTAATTACAAAATGTACAAAGATATTTTTGATTTGATTTTGTTTGAACAGCAAAAGTTAACAAAACGTGACACTGCTATTTTGTTAAAATATAATTCTTACAAAATCCTCTTGAATCCCTTTATTAGTACAAGAAATAAACTATCAAATTATCCCTCCTGAAAAACTAAATAAAATGTCCGGAAATGTATAAAAAAATTGGGAACATCCTAGTCAAACTTCTGTCTTTAAATGTGTAGTTCATAGTGTGGTAAAATGGCAGGAGTTTATAGGGGGCAGACTCAACTGGTCCCGCAAGTCAGGTACCCCACTTCTACTGGTCCCGTCAGCAGTCCCTTTGCAATTTGTCTAACAGGATTACGGGATTGCGGCTAGTGTTTGTATAGTTATCAATGCCCATTCATCGGTAGGAGCCTGAGGTGTTTCACTGTCTCTGACAACAACTGTTTGGAGATTGTTTGATAGAATCAGATAGTGTTATCAGTAACATTAAAAAGCACTGAATTAAATATATAATATGATAATATGCTTGTGAGTTTGAGAGTTCTTGAAGGCTTGCGGCCATCTTGGATAGTTTCAAACAGCTGCTGAAGAGTTAATTATCATCCAAAAATAGTTTTTCAAACACCAAAGTGATTACAGTGTAAATATCTAGTATACTGTGAGGTTAGAAATGTTGTTTGTTGTTTTGGATGTATTTCCAAGGGAGTCCATGGAAGCCAACGTTTTTTTAATTGTTTTGTGAGTTAAAACGTCTATGCTCCAAGTACTCTTAGTGAGAAATTTCAGCGAATGAGTTTCAGTAATGGAACAGAATTCATTGGGTTTTAATTCCTAGGGATACTAATAGGTACCGATAACAATACCTAAAAAAATTACATAACTTATTTTTTAGAACAAAATATTTTATGTTATATAAAAAGTTTACAGTTTAGGTTTCTTTGCTGTTTAGATTTAGTTTAATTTAAAATTAAGTACCGGGGGACCGAGCCTTGCTGGGTTGTGGTTAATTTGGTTTAGTCGATAAAACAATATCGTAAACACATTTTATAATTTACGGAAAACATTTTTATTATAATCCATAGACATTTTATCGCTAAACTATTAACAACTCTGTAATGTAAAATTATGCAACCGAAGAAAAATAAGATACACTTTTATGTTCTTGCGTAGGTTGATCAAATCTAATCAAATATTTTGGACGTATTTATATTTACTTTTAGTATATTTAAAAACACGCAAAATACTGATAAATAAGTTATTTATCAAGACATTTGATTGAAACCATGGTTGTAGCTTCTATACAACATTTTTGAGCTGTGACGAAAATACAAGGTAAATAAACCACTATTAATATTTGTCTTACCAGCTCAGGGGCAAACCACAACAATGAGTACATTTGATTGAATTCACTTTTTCCAATATCTTGTGTAGATTATTTTTTATTCGTTTGAAACTGCGTTTAATAAAGTGTAGGCACACAAAATAAATATTTACTTAGGCCTACGACTTTTCGTGCACCTCCACCGCTCCACCATGAAGGCAGGTCCTCGCGAATAGTTTCTATATAAATATCGCAACATAGTGTTCTATTAAGTTGCCCCCCTTTGACTAAAAAACTTTTTTAACATGACAAAAATGTCGATCTGCTTACTCCATTCCCTAACACACATCGGGGATTTATTGGGAGAAGGGGTAGCATAAAGGTATTTAGACTTTCCGTCATAGTGGTGCATTTTAAAGGTAGGGGAGACTTCGCTTCGAAGCCCCAAATTCGCCACATTCATTGATGCTGAGAGAGCGCTGCAAGTATTCGCTGTTTTTGACCTGTACAGTGAAGTGATGCATTGTTTAGAGCTTTGCGATGACATGATGACCTGGCGAGGGAACTCAAGAATTCGCACAAACTTTTAACGAAGTATTTATTTGAAGTATTTATTGTTTGTTTACATCACGCTTCATGCCTCATCACGTCGCTGGATTAGTCACCCCAAAACTACCTGGATCCCTCGGGACCAGTGGAGTCGTCTCTGACCTTTTTCGACCCTCAGATTACGGGACCAGGTAACCATTACCCGTTCATAGTGTGGTAAAACAGCAGGAGTTTAACATCTTAAAAATTGGGCCATGTCTGGGCTAAGAATTTAAAAACTTAACTCAACCAGAAGGAATGTATGCCTAAATGAATATAATTGTTAGACTAGTCGAGTAGGTACAAGGCACATTATCCGAGTGTTAATCGAATCTTGTAAAGACAGAATTTTACTTGGCAGGAGAGTAAATTACCTTTCAACGTTTTCAAACAATATGACAAGACTAATTATCCCACTTGGGTTGACACTGGCTAGCCGGTGAGGCCGGTAATGGATGAAGTAAAGAACACAATGTGTTCTGAGATTTTATATAGCTTGTGTGGCTGCAACGGAAGCTCAAGACCTTAATTTACGGACGATAGTTTTTTTATTATTGGCTTCTGATAAGTGTCTAGATAAAATGACGAACCTAAAAAACCGAGTCCCACTAAGTTATCAGGGGTTTTACCGTAGTGGTAATGAAATAACCCCAAGGTTTAGACTATTGCCTTTCAAAAAGCGTAAAAATGCTTATGGCATAAACAATTCTTCTAGTCACGCGTGTTGTGTTCCGTTGTTCTAAAATGTGTATAAATTATGATGACCTTCAGAAGAGATTCTGTCCTTTTAACGCCTGATGATGACTCCTTTGTGAGCCGAAACTAGTTGATACAGCAACCAATTGGATCACTGATAATGCAGGTATTTTAAGCCACTTAGTTTCAAGAAAGACTCGAAATATTTGACTTACGACTCAGTAGTCCGGGCTGTACAGGGAGTGATCATTTGCAGCAGCTGCCCGGGGCTTTCTGTGTTGCTTCTGACTCGACCAGCCGTCGACCTTGACCACTGCTACCTCCACCACCTGCTTGTTCATTCTTAGGTAGCTTTTTCGCTGTAAAAGGTAAAAAAAAGTATTAGGGCTTGTATGAATAATTCAATTCTGACAGAAGGATTTCAGTGAGAGAGTACTGATAAGAAGCTATATGTACATCGATTTCAAAATTGTTTTGAGACCAATGAAAATACACCAGAATTCAACTACGGTAATACAAATTGATTGGGATCAGACTTTGTTCGGATTACCAAATTGTTTGTATCAGCTAAAAATACAGTAAACTTGCATAAAAAAAAATAAAAGAATAGGCCTATATTTTTGTTACTTAAATTGGCCATATACTGAACCGTTTACGTGTTACCCGTTTGAGGCACTTGATCATCTCCAGCGATAGTTTAAGTGGCACCAACCGAACAGAATTAATGAAATGGGCCCTAAGCCATAGAATTTTTAACTTTACTACAACTTGGGTTTCCAATACTTTTTGATGAAATGGCGACCATACAAAGTAGGTATTTTAAGCCAAGTATGAATGGAGATGAGTGTAGGATGAGTGGCGCGATCTTGTAGTCTTGTTAGTGACTAAGGCCGACACATTCCTTAGACACAGCTGTTCCTAACAGGTGGTTCAGATTTACAGAAGTTTTGGGAATAGCAAGGTTCGGATTATCGAGACTATGGTGTAAATGGCATTTTAAAATCAGATTTGTAAAAAGCTAAAACTAATGTATAAGTCATAGGCCTACCTTTGGATTCATGGAGACTGGATTGTAAATTGTAAAGGTATGATGTTAATTAAAGGTTGTTGTTTAGCTGAGTGGTTTAGGAGTCTGAACCGTAGTCTCTGTCAGTATTGGATCAGGTTTTTTCAAATCATCAAGGTGAAATTTTATTTAATGCATAATATCACATTCAACTTCTTTTGACCTACCTCCCCATATTTGTGGAGCTAGCAGGCTTTATAAACTAAAAAAAAATTTTCAATTAATTTTGTAAATCAGTGTTGTGAAAATCATAAAAACTATTGACTTGCTGAAGCAGACATTGAAACTGTATGGACAAGCTACGGCCAACTTTGTGCTAAAAATAACGTAGTTGAATGGGTCATTTCCCCCCCCCCCTTAACTTTGTTACTGTGACAGCTGTGTGTACATGCCATAATAGATGGTATAGTTTAAAAGTAAGTTGTCCTCAGTTAAGCATTATTAAAAAGTCAGCGTATTCAGCAACTTGCATCCGCACACTCTGTCAGCCTCAATTCTACATTTAAAACTGGTCACAATTTTAAAGCTGGAATGAATTAAATTTTAATTTCTCTCATTTTCAAGAAAAAAACTTGATCACTACTCTTTTAAATGTTTACACAAATAATGTAAGCCTTTAAAAGACTATTCAACTGCCTCACCGATTGCCAGAAATATGTCATTGACGTTCATGGCAGTTTTTGCCGATGTCTCCATGAAGAGCAGGCCGTTCTCGTGGGCGTACGCCTGAGCTTCGTCAAACTCGACACTCCGTTTGTTGGCTAGGTCCGCTTTGTTGCCGGCCAACGCAATCACAATGTTGGGGGACGCTTGTCGCTGCAACTCCTTCACCCAGGTCTTGGCTCGGCCGAATGTGTCCTGCGAATGAACAACATCTTATCAACGAGTCGTAAAAGAGATCTTATATAGCAGGGTTTGAATAGCAATTCTACACTCCTATTGTACTAACATTGTACCTACAGTATTCTTTGCGCTCAGAAAATCTTATGTACAGGACCTTATTAGGATTTTTTTGTGAGGATAGTAGGCTTACCTCGGAAGGAGTCCATAACCTGGTGGAACTAACACCATAGACGAAAAGAATAAATATAGACTCTCAAAGGAAGGTTCTGGCGCCCACCGCTAGGAGTGCCGTGTAGTTACGACGCACACCGCTGCAGGCGAGGAGCGCAGGAGCCATATGCGACCAGCAAACGCTGCAGCGGTGTGCGCCATAACTACATGGCAAACCTAGCGGTGGACGCCAGAACTTATGCTAACCGCAGCGGACGGTCTATATTTATTCGATTTGTCTATGCTAACACTAAACAAAAATAATTCAATGTCCCTAACAGCATTTTCAACTAAGAAATGACTTGTGTACAGGACCTTTATTCTCCTGACCAGTCTGATCACCTCATTACTGCAGAGACTCTAAAGAAATTTCTCCTAACTTTATGTTGGGTATGTAGTTCTCAGGACCAACGTCCAACCCCAAACCTCAACATGAAATTCAGAATGAATGAATTACAGGTAGATGTTAAAATGTATTTTATGTTATGATAAGCATGTCCATAAATAGGTAATCTAAATTCCAGCGGTTTTATTTTTTATTGGAGTGTGCGGAAGACACTAGCGGTAACGGATACCATGAGCAGAGAAAAGATAGGTGATATTTCACACTCCGGAACATTCAAGGACTTGGCTCACACTGGCTTGATAGTAAATTAGGGATTGACATTCATTCACTGAATATAGTCGCCAACACCAACTACTAGGGGTGGGCACACATTTGAACTCAACATGATACTGTAAGTCTCTTCTAGATACAAGATAGGAGGGATGTATACTCACAGGATTGGTAATGTCGTACACTACTATAGCTGCTTGTGCACCTCTGTAGTACATGGGCGCAAGACTGTGGTATCGCTCCTGCCCAGCCGTGTCCCAGATCTCAAACTTGACTGTCATGTCGTCTAGACACACTGTCTGCGTGAGGAATGCCGCTGAAATCCACAACAACTCAATCAATTTAAATTATAAATTATGATGTCATTCAGAAATGCAGAACCTAAGTCCTATTAAAATTTGCAGAACAAGTAGTTAAACCACAAGTTGATCATAAAGTAAATTAAGAGAGTGTATAGATGCGCAATTTCTTTTTGTTCTGGATAAATACATACAAATGCACAATAAGCTATCAGTGGGATTGATTCTTATTCTGTTAACGATAAAAAAAGGTTGACATTAGAGAGTAAAAGAACTAGGGTTTGGGCTGTCCCCTGATAAACAAAACGGTTATTTCTGTTTTAACGACCACACTTGTGCTATTGTACACATTGGGTAGGGGTTAGGTACTTTGAACGTAGCTTAATACCATATAATTACATAGGTAAAGATAATTTAAAAGTACCTACCTGAAAATTTTAAACGACATGACACAAATCTTACATTACCTGACCAAATATGGAATAGGTCTACAATTAGTGGATCAATATGACAGAAAAGTAACCAAAAACCATAAAAAGAACCTAAAATATAAACACAAATTAACATACCTCCTATCGTACTCTCCTGGTACTCGTGGAACTGTCCCTTGACAAACCTGAGGACCAAGCTTGACTTTCCCACAGCTGATTCTCCCAACAGCACCAACTTGAATTGACATATCTTGCCTTGAGGTGTCCCATTAGGCCTCTGAGCCCCGCCACGGTTGGCCATTTTTTATCTGAAACTGAGATAATCAACTAAATACATTACGTAACCACACAGCTGAATACTATTTAAAGGAATATAGTTGACATTTTTCAAACACTGATTGGTAATATAATTTTGAAGTTTTAGAACCTAAAATCTCATCTTCAGGTGGAAAGGAAAGTAATAACATCACAGAATTGACATCTGACAACGAAAATGCTAAGAAAAGGCAGTGCCACATTTAGGGTACCTGAACGGCCCCCGCCCCTTAGGTATAGCTTCCCATGATTGCAAAGAAATTGTAAACATCTCCCAAGATCACAAAGACATTGTCTTACCCACCCGCAATTTTGGCAAATTATTAATTTTAGAAAATTAAAATTCCATATTTGCGTTCTAAAAAGTTTGTTTTTGTACATTTTGCTTGCCTAGTGATAAATTGGGAACTGTGAACAGTCATGTTTGATAAAGACAAAAAAAAATATAGCCTAGAAGTTGAATCAACTGTCTCAACATCTGATCACAAACACTCAGTTTAAGAACTCAAGATCAAAGTAATAAATGAAAATAAAATGTAGGTATAATGGGAAGCAAACCTACTATGCTACGCAACTACAGCATAAATATGATATTTACATTAGAAATATAATAGGCTAAGCAGATAAGTGGCGTACCCATCTTAATGATAATGATCCTAACATTCGAGGGTTGAGGTGCAAGTGGCTGGAAAATAAAGTGATTGTTTTATATAAAATCTGTCTAAAATGTACAGTGAACAAAAATATTTTAAAAATTTACTAAATTGAGAAGCTGCTTTTAAATTTGATTACATTGGCCATTCACCCCAAATTTGCCTACTTTAAACTAAACAATAGTATACCTATTTCATCACTATGGCATAAAGTAACTCTTTTCGATTCGAGCTCAAGTTTAGGCAAAACCTAGGTCGGAAATTGTGTGAGGCGTGAAACGAAAACTTTTTGCCCATGTGATGAACAACATTTTTATGTCATATTGCATCATTAGTTAAGCAAACTAAGTTACAAAACAAAAATATTTTAGGATAACCTCCCAAAACGACTTATTAGACTTCAATTTTGCTAATGTTAACAAGCAGTTGTTGGTAGTTTTTTACCCCCTTAGAAGAAAAGTAGCTACTTTAAACCTGCAACCATTAACTATTAAAGCCACAATGCAATGTTAAAATGGCTGCTTATGCTGCAATATGACAAAAAATGGGTTTTCTATGAAATAGGGGACTTTTCCACAAATAAAACATGATCAAGAGCCTGGTGATAGGAGGTTGAAATGTAAACAAAATGGCTTAGGCCTTTTAAGTCCATGGTAGTATTTAACATAAAACTTTTTTACTTTCTTGTTCAAACTACCACTGTTTGACTCAAGACAATTCACCCAACATTTTGTTCCGTTACTGGTTTTTGGGTTTACTAAATAAAATTAAGTAACTTAATAGGCCTAAGTTATTGACAATTTGTCTAAATTTATAATTAGGCCTAGAGGGTCTACTATAATTTCTGTATAGTGATGTTAAGAATCGTCTTTAATAACTTGTTTTAAAAACACACTTCATCTTGAGATACCTTGGCTTGAAATAAGTCATGTCAATTTTGGGACAAGAAAAAAATGACAATACAATATTGTGACAGTCACTGTCATAAATTTATATTCAAATCTCTAAGAAGGTCATCCCTATGGCAAATAATTCTAATCTATAGCCTACATATTAACCAGGAAGTTGTATTTAAATTAAATAATGCAAATTTAATATTCATCAAAACACTGTTATGCAATAGCCTAGTTTAAAAAACCCATTTCCTTAAGAAAATAATGTTATGATCTCTTAGAGGACTGACAATTTGACTTTCATCAATAACCTATCTAGGCCTATTATAGGCCTACAGTGATTTCAATTCTAAATAATGTGATTCAAAATGCTTATTATCAAACAGTATGTACGAGATAAGGACTGAGTCAAGGTCACAGTTTTGATCGTACACTTGAGTAGGCGCATGACTCAACTGCATACAAATTGATCTCTTAGAAACTGACTTGGATTAACTTCTTTTATAAAAGTGTTTATTGTTTAAAATTGGGTGTCGCTGTCCTTAAATTTTCGGGCTTTCAATAAATGATTCTGGGTAAATCCTTTAATACTTTGATTTAAATACTTTTTATTGAAATGGCGACCATACAAAGTAGGCTAGGTATTTTAAGCCAAGTAGGCTATGAATGGTAATGAGTGTAAGATGAGTGGCGCGATGAAACAACTGGTCTTAATCAGTAGCTTAATATAGTTTAAAAAGAAACAATCCTACCGAGGTGATTTAAGTTAGAATAATAAATTTTGACCAAGCCATTTAAAAGGTTGTGTCAGAAGGAAAACCACACTTGGCATTTTTTTTTTTAAAGTTAGCATAAAAGTTAGGTCTTAACGATCCATATGAAAATCATTTACATATTATATCCTTGTATTTTACTGAAGCGAATGGACACTCGCATATTACAATTATCAGCACTTCTAACTGATGCAGTTTGTGCAACACATAGCGTCATAGATATAATCGTAAACATTTGCGCCCTTATACTTCCTCACAGTACTGCTGTACTACTTAATTAGTATTTACAGTACTGGCCTTAAAAACAACAAAGACAAACCATCCTACCAATATCAGTCTCTTGCTACTTTTTAAAATTGTAGTTTAGGTCCTAAAGACTGTTCCTGAGATGGACTAAGTTAAGATGAATCATAAGACTATTTCTTTTCCATCTTGAACCAAATTTCAAAAGTTAACAGCAAACCGTTGCCATTAAGTTTAATAAATTTTAAATATCTCTATTGACCACCAGCTTTTAAAAACTAGGCTTAAGTATAAATCCATATGCCTAACCTAATGATTTGAGCAAGAAGTTTTACTTTACTTAAATATTAGCATCATTTGAGAAAAAGATTTTGTATAACTAACTCACAGCAGGCTCCTAAGGAGTTCACAAATCGTAGATATTTATAGGCATGTACTGTGGATGTGATACTCCCTGGTGTGGATTGAGTCCGCACTAGTGAGTACTACAACTATCCGCAGTACCTACTATCCTGATAATTAGACCAATTTGTTAATACCAAGGCAAAAATGTGGTTCGGATTCCACTATAAACTGTAGGCCTAGGTCCCTTAGTTGCCATTAGCTGTATGGGCTATTAATTAACAGCTGTGTCTAAGGAATATGTCGGCCTTAGTCACTAACAAGACTACAAGATCGTGCCACTCATCCTACACTCATCTCCATTCATGCTTGGCTTAAAATACCTACTTTGTATGGTCGCCATTTCAATGAAAAGTATTAAAGTATTAAGTTACAATAATTGTGGAATATCACTAAAATAAGTTTCCACAACGTTTATTGACAGTTGATAAAAGATTGATATTGATTGCAAGTATCTAGCCTCAAGATCTTAGGTAGGCTATGCCTTACCTAAAGCCAAGGTATTTAAATTAATTTATTTACTTTACTTATCTTTTCTACAGCATATTTGCCATTTTGACTTTTAAACAACAATTTACAAAATGCAAGCTTACATTTTACTTAGAATGAATTTAGTTCAGAAGCCTAACTTAAATTTAGAACTATTACATAACTGAAACCCAGTAGACTACAGTAGTTTAAGTTATTCAATGTCGTCTGCAGTTGTGTGCCGTGACCTGAATTATAAAACAGAAAATGTTTTTTCAAGGTTTCTGAAGGTTTATTGACTTAAGTTTAGCAATCAGTCAGAGTTAAAGCCTATTAACTTAAGTTATTAAAGAACTAGTAGTTGTGTGAAAACTATCTGCACTATTGGTGGGGTGGGCCCTGTGGAGCACTGTAAACCACTCTTTGTAAAATTTTGCATTTGCACAGTCATCAACCTAACTTAAATACATTTACAATGTCCTGACATACACAAAAATGTAATTTACGTGAATTTTACACTCGACAGGACATTCACTCATACAATACAAGAGGCAAAGGAGCACATTCCCCAGCACCGGTTTACACTTAACTTTCTTTCAAAATTAATTGTATCAAGTTATATAATAAGCTGTCTGAACCTCTCCTTGAAGCAACCATTTCTATTTTTAGGTCAAAAGTTTATTCATGTCTGTTAGAAAATCCATTTTACACTCTTAATGAATTCTTTGATTCGACTATTCTAATCAAGCCATTAGATTAAGCTTAGGCTATTTAGCGCTACTATTACTCTTAACTTTTTATTATTAACTTTTTTAGGCCTATTTATTTTTCTCTGTGTCCCTTAAGGACCTATGTAAAGATCTAGACATAATTTGACTATGCCTATTTCAATGTAAACTTGCTGGGTAGCTGGTTATAGTGCTCACCTAGTAACTTAGGCTAATCAAAATGTCGCCGGTTCGATCCTGAGAAAAGTCAGTAACTTAGCTTTTTGATGGTTCGAAACTGGACCCAGCTGTTCCTGATCATTAGGCTTTAAATAAATGATCCTGACTAATGAAACCGCTGATCTTAACACAGCTACACAGGTCATCACATACCATTCTACACTCATCCTTCACTCATTGGGTTAAAATACCCATCAAGTATCAAGTAAGTAAGCATCTAGGTGGCGTCCCCATCTCAACAATTGATAATTGATTGATCATTGGCAATAAGGATTGTGATTCTGACTAGGTAGTGTAACTTAATGCATTTCCAAGTTTGACATAGGCTAGGTCCGATAATAAACATAGCTAGGATTAAAGTAGGCTACGTAGGCAGGAGACCTTAAGATATCTAGCCTATCCAGTAGAAAAGCTCAATTCAAATTGGGCTCTAGCCTAATTTATCACTGAAAGTTGACATTTCAGATCAAATTTAAGGACCTTGACAGCCAACAAATTAACTTAAGAGAAACTTCAGTTACCTGGTCATGACAATTAAGCTGACAATTAAACTTTGATAAAATATATTTACAACAACTCTTTAAATCTAGGTTTAAGAGAAAAAATTATGATACCAATAATTTGACAAATAGGCTAGGCTACCACAACGAATGAAGACTTATCAGCTGACATCCATAGGCAGCCCATGGGTTTTGACAATCTTGTCAACTAACTTATCTCACCACCAGATTTCTGGAAACCCAACTAGTAAATTCTTGTTTCAAATACCAATGTGTGACAAAATTGAATAAATCAACAGCTATACCTATATTCAAAACAACAAATGAACAAAAAGACTCACTTTGTAATGTTATAAGCAACACTAAATACGGAAAGATACGTCAATTACTGCGATCTTTGTATCGTGATTTGCCTCCCCTTTATGCATTGCATGTTACGGCTTCAAGACGTGTCTAGGTCAAGAGTTATGATTCTCCTCGGTTTAAGTGTTTAATATAATGTTATTATAAAGTTAACGTATTTACTTACCTCCCAATAATTAATCACAATTTTCCGAATTCACTACTCAACAGAAACCACCAATGTCTGAGTTCACAAAACGACGAAACGAAACGAGACGTCAGACGATCACAGCGCTCCTTCAATTGTGGACAATGGCCACATCACATTCTTCATGATTCATATCAAGATACATTTCGAAATAAATTTTAAAGGACTCTGCTCAAGATATCAAAATAAAATCAAATTTATATTTCAATAGTAAGTACTTTGATTAAATATTTGATTAAACGTAGAGTTGTATATGACAATAGAAGTTTAGTCTTGGCTTTGACCATTCGAGGATATTCCGTAAGGTTTTGACATAATCATTCGTTGAGCGCTAAATTTGAATGTTCTTGACAAGTCGTTTGTCCATGGGTTTACGTTTACGTTAGTTTTATACATCGATGGGGTTTACTGGTTTACACTACCATTTATGTATTGAGTGGTCAAAAATAACGTCATGGAAGTTTTCAAATAAAGTATTAAATACAGTGTTACTAGAGGGACCCGATGTAGCTCTAGCTCTGTGTTGTTATGGTACCTCACCTCCTCAAAACAAAAGCAAAAAATTGACAATTAAAAATTTGTCTCAGACACATACAGCTGTTTTTTTTTATTATTTCAATTCATGTTTTGACGGGAACGAAAGTCACCACTCCGAAACTCACCGGTGGGGCACACGGAAGATTTCTCAGGTGCCGTTTGACGTCACTAACTGCTGCGTCTGAAGAAACAGACAATTTTATAATTTTTCTATTATTAAATTAAACTGTCATAACCTAACCAAACTAACCAAACGTGCTGATAATGAAAAAATTGAATGAAGGTTTACAAATCTAAAAAACAGTTTTGTTCATAAAATAAAATTATAAATGCCTAAAATTTTATTTTATTTTTTTTATTTAATTTGATTTAACCTAACCAAACCAACCAAATTGCTGATATGAAAAAAAGTTGACAAAAAGTTAGTGCTACCAGCGGGATTCGAACCCGGTACATTAAACCCGACACGCTAGCCACTACACCTCAGAGACCGATGGCTCAATACCGTATAGTTGCGGTAATTGTGTTCCCTCAAAGTGACTTCAGCAGTTAGTGACGTCAAACGGCACCTGAGAAATCTTCCGTGTGCCGTTTCGCGAAACTCACCGTCGTCAACCATGGTGGAAGGAAAAAACATAGGTGTGCTATTCCCACATATTCTGACGTCACTTGGATTGCAAGTTTATACATCGATGGGGTGCGTTTACTTGATATTTACCAGATATTTACTTGCGTTTCCTATCGAGCATCTACAGCCGCGCGGCTAGAGCCATCGCGACTGGACTGCTCCGTGAGCAGTTCAGTCGCTTCAGTCGCGCGGCTGTAACGAATTTATTGTTTATACATACGAAGTTTGAGGTGTGTACCTTCATAGATGATTCAAAGTTAATGGAACTGGTTCGTCACCACCACTGAGCTATAATTCTAACTGGAGGTAGCACTGAATGTCAAAGATGCGTGTCGCCAGCCGCCATGTTTGCGTGAGTCTGGTGTCATAAGAAGCCATATTATTGCTATAACTATTATTATACTTGGCTTAAAATACCTACTTTGTATGGTCGCCATTTCAAAGAAAATTATTAAAGTATTAAAAGTATTCAAGTATGACAAAAATACTCACTGCTATACCAACCTAGTTATAAGAAGCCATGTCATTGCTATGATAAGAAAACTTACTGCTATACCAACCTAACAAAATCAGCGACACGCTTTTGACAGACTTCTGCCATGGCAGTGCTACCTCCAGTTATAATTTTAGCTCAGTGGTCACCACCCATACGTTCACCCCCAATACTGGAAGAAGATGTCTCTGAATAAGAATACTCTGAAACCGCTATTTTCACCGTACCATGAACAATGGATTAGGTTGTTCATTGTTTTTTTACCATGCACATTAATAATTCCTTTTCCTCCCTTTCTCCAAGTAATATATTCGCTGCCAACTGTGCTTATTTCATGACGGTCAGTAGTGCAATTTCACAAGTCACTAGTCGTGGGAGTCGTAGGAGTCGCGGCATAGGAATTGAGACAAGCGTCTCCAGCCGTACGGCTCTAGACGCGCTTTTGGGTATAGGCTAGAGCCGCGCGGCTAGAGTCGTAACAGTCGCAGGATAGGAAATGGACCTTTAGGAGTTACTAAGGAGTCTTGGTATCCATGCTCAATAACACACTCATCATTATACGTTACATCACACGGTCTATACACTTACCACTTACGGGATCCTTTGATCCTTAATACCCACCAAGTTTAGTACATAGTCAATGATCTAGCCTCCCGTCCCGATGAGTGCTCACCGTCTGTGTATATCAATGGTTGGTGTTGGTGGTGGTAACAACAACTAACAAATTTCCGCCATTTTCTTTTCATACATTTGCAGTACATAAAATTATCTCTAAACCTAAGGTAGGTGTATTAATTTATAATAGTGTAAATTAAGAAGACAACTCTTAATAAATACTATTTTGTGTGGCTAAGTGGCAGGATTTATCACAATTAAATGATACTTTGCTCTGTGAGTAAGCTGTGTTAGCCTATGCCCTGAGAGCTACATCACAATGCTAAAGTTTAGGTTAAATTACAATCCAATAAAATTCTTTGCATGCATAAGTTAGTAGCCCTATTGACTTAGAATACCTCAAATAATAAATGTGACTACTCAACTTACTGTAATCCCGTCAGTCTTGTTTTAATGTCAGGATATGCTGAGTGAGTGTCTGTGGTTTCAGTGAGTGGAAGCTTCCTAGCTAAAGCCCTAAGCCTATTTAGGCCTTGGATATTTTTTACGATTCCAGAGAACAGACGAAATTGGGTACAGTTCCGCAGGAACCTACGATATAGCCTAGCTAATTATTGGATGAAATGAAATATTGGCCTAGGCTAGGGATGAGCATCAATAGGTCTTTAACCATCACTGTACCAATAACATAATTGTGAAAACATCGATGTTTTGGTGCTAAAACATTTACGTTCATGTTTTTCAGTTGCTCCGTCTGCTCCTTGTAATGCAACCGCTAGTTAGGCCTAACCTTAAACTTATAGGCCTAGGCTACTTACAATAGGTACAGCCATGGAAAACATTTATAGCCTATAGCCCATCAATAGGCTAACTTACTTGACGAAAAAAATCTATGATTAACAAAAACATAGATAACAGTGGTAATCTACCATCAATGTTAAAAAACGTCAAACATCGATAAAAAAACATTTAAGTTAAGTAGCCTACTAGGCCTAAACTTAAGTTACCCATGCTCATCCCTAAGTTAGCCTAACTTGGACCTAAATAGGCAATTGATTTTATGTTTTTGGGTCTTTTCATTTTAAGCAGAGTTAAGTATTAACTTAAATTAGTTAACCCTAGGACCGGCAATTAAGTTATGACAATTTTCATCATATGTTTGTGCAACTTCCAAAATGCCCATAAGTAAGACGTAAATCGTCATAAACCTTTGAAAACCAATGCGCCCTCTGAAAGGTTAAGAAGCCGACTAATTGTTCTAGCAGAACGAATGGGTGGTTGATGCAATGATAAAAAAAACTAAATGTTTGACAATACTTATTTGAAATTTGGATAACGTAGGCTAACAATCTTCTAAGAACATAAATCTAAAGATATGTACACAAAAGATGAAATAAAAATACTCTCTCCAACAAGCTTATAAATCATTTAAAATTATTCCAAACCCGAATAATTTTGATCCCATTTGAAAGATGAGATTCCAAACTTTCATCTTTAATAAAAACAAGCCCATGGGGTGCAGCCCAAGGGAAATATGAAAATTAAATTCTAGGCTATATAATATTGCATTGTCTTCCGTTTAAGTAGGCTAGTTTTTTTTTTCTGATTGAACTTTCAGGCTCCGCCCCAGTGGCTCTGAAGTTTCCCATGTTTACCTTATGATTTTTCATATTCAAAAGGAATTAATAAATCTTAACAGCTGTTTCAATTAGGCTAAACAAGTTGGTTCTGTTCTTTGATGTTCAATAGCATTTATAAAGTTACCCATGTTAATTTATTAAAATTTTAAATCACCGGTAATTTGTTGTGTTTATTTTTGAGCCTATTTTCATTTATAAAGGGAGCTAGCACATCTACAGGAAAATATCTTTCAAACAGTACCTAAGCGTAGATTTTCCCTGCGATGCACACGAGCTGAAAAAAAGGTTTTAATCATGCTTGCCTATTATATAGATTGCACTAATATGATATTAATATCGAACCAAATAAACATCGATATTTATCATTATTCATCCAATAATATATCGCAGGTTCTATGCGGAACTGTACCCGTCGACTCACCAATCCTTAGATATGTTATTTGTCAGTGTTGGTAGCCCTGTAGGCCTAGACATACATGCCCTATTCTATGATATTTACTTTTAGACAGACTCTATGATATTTACTTTTTATTTAACAGAAGGCTAGGCTTAATAATCCTATTTGTAAATTTTTGTGAAGTCTGTTGACTTATCAAATGTATTACCTAAATTATTTTGTATTTCAAGTGTTGGGGGGGTTACAAGTACAAAGTTGCATACGTCCATTTAGCCTTTAATGTTTTATATTCATATTTTGTTGTGGTGTTTCCGGACCAATTCATTGACCAATAAATAAAAGGTTAAAATACCTGATTGTTGCCTTGTGGTCCAAAGTATTGTCCTAGTGGATTAGTATGTACATTTCGGCGCGAGCCCCATCGTCGGATCCGTTTAAGAACTTAACTAAACTTCCCTGAAGAGGTGCGTAAAAAGTTCACAACACACATAAACACCGGTCGACCGTTAATTAACTTCGAGTCTCAACACACGTCTGGCGCGCCTCCATATCCTGCCCGCGCACGTGTAGCAAAAGTTAAAAAAGTTAAAGTTAGAAAACAAATGTTAATTAACGATCGACCGGTGTTTATGTGTGTTGTGTGTTGTGAACTTTTTACGCACCTCTTCAGGGAAGTTTAGTTAATAGTTCTTATACGGATCCGACGATGGCGCTCGCGACGAAATGTAGGCTACATAATCCACTAGGACAATACTTTGGACCACAAGGCGACAATCGGGTATTTTAACCTTTTATTTATTTGTAATGTTTTATAGTTTAAGCTAGGTTATTTAAACCTTTCTACAAATTCCCCAATTCTATGTGTCTACTTCTCATTTAAAACATTGACTAGGAGTTATAACCTTCGTTGATTGTTTATAGGCCTACCTAACTGACAAGGGGGCGTAAGTTGGTGCCACTAAACATATCTTAGATAGTAAAAATATTCGGTACCGTACGGTAATTAGAATTTGTATATAAAATCCAATTTTATTGATTTTTGTTAATGTTTTTCTCTCAGGAATAAGCAGGCCTGTAATAAAATGAGAAGAAGTGAGAGAGGAAAAACTAAAACTACCCAGAAAGAAGATGAGGAACCACAAGAAAAAACTGTTAGGAAGTCACAAAGGCGGACAAGAAGGCGGAAAAAATCAACATCCTCTTCCGATGGGGAAAGTAACAGTAGTACCGGTAAGAAAGATGTGGCTGAAAGCTTGTCCCAACCTTTGGAAATTCAAGTGCAAGACATAGAACTGCCACAGGAAACGGAAAGCACTAGTGTTGCTGCCAATAATGAAAACGAGACTAGTAGCAAACCAGGAAATGCAAATAACGAGTGGAAGGAGGACAGTTCATTTTGGGAAGGTTCTGATAAACCAAAGGTAGGTCTATGCTATGTATAGCCAATGTATTAAAATATAAGTTACATACTGGTTGTTTTCTTGACTTAAAAAGAGGATCTCTAAGCCAAGATTAGTGAGTTATCTTCAAATTTGAATTTAAAGAAATGGTAGGCTAATTGTTTTATTTCTTGGACAAGAGATGTAGATGTACGTTATTATCAAACTGCTGTGAGGGAGTTATAACCAGAGGCGTTGCACAAGAATTAAGTACTTATTGGGGGAAAGACTTCAAACTTCTTTACAGTAAACCTTACTGAGATTTATCAATGAGTATCAATGTAAGAGTAACGAGGCGTTTTTCATCACTAATATCTCTGTATTTATTTAACAGTCAAACCCAAACCGCTGTATAACAAGATCATAATACAACTTTTGTAAATACAACTTTAGACAATGTAAGTGGGTGTATTGCCACTTAACCTACATAAACAAGAAAAGACTAGGACTCTCATTCACTGAGTTGGTAGACTTAGTACTGAACAGATACTGAACAAATTAATGATAAGGAAAATAACGCCCAAATGTACTTTAAAACACAGAAGGTAAACAAACGTATACGTAGTCTAAAACAATTGTGTAGAATTAGTTTAACTCAAAACTGTCTGGGTTACAGTGCTCGCCTTCAATTAAAAAAATCACTGGTTATATTCCAAGCAAGATCAATTCTGGTTTTAGATGCATCTAGTAATTGGGTTATAAATTAGTAATATGTACCTAACAAAAGGTTGGCGTTAAATAGCCTCCTTTGCTTTAAATATCCTTTGTTAAATAGCAGGGTGTCTAGTAGTCGGGAAAATCGGGAAAGTCGGGAATTAGTATTGAATTTCAAAATGGTCTTGAAAAGTCGGGATTTAGTCTTAAATTTGATTTCAAAGTCGGGAATGTTTATGGTTTTGCCGCGATCATCGTCTTGCGTTTACGTAACCGCGAAAGCCAATGATAATGATGTCCACACGGCCTCGGGAAATGTTCACGATTTTGTCGCGATAGTGGACGACGACGATGACGTTTCCGAAACCGCGGGAGACGACGATGACGTTTCCGTGACCGCGGGAGATGACGATGATGTTTCCATGACCGCGGGAGACGACAATGATGTCTACACGGCCGCGGGAAATGTTCATGATTTTGCCGTTATCGCGGACGACGACGATAACGTTTCCGTGACCGCGGGAGATGACGGTGATGTCTAAACAGCCGCGGGAAATGTTCATGATTTTGCCAGGATCGCGGACTACGACGATGACGTTTCCGTGACCGCGGGAGACGACGATGACGTTTCCGTGACCGCGGGTGACGACAATGATGTCTACACGGCCGCGGGAAATGTTCATGATTTTGCCATGATCGCGGACGACGACGATAACGTTTCCGTGACCGCGGTAGATGACGGTGATGTCTAAACAGCCGCGGGAAATGTTCATGATTTTGCCGTTATCGCGGACGACGACGATAACGTTTCCGTGACCGCGGGAGATGACGGTGATGTCTAAACAGCCGCGGGAAATGTTCATGATTTTGCCAGGATCGCGGACTACGACGATGACGTTTCCGTGACCGCGGGAGACGACGATGACGTTTCCGTGACCGCGGGTGACGACAATGATGTCTACACGGCCGCGGGAAATGTTCATGATTTTGCCGTGATCGCGGACGACGACGATAACGTTTCCGTGACCGCGGTAGATGACGGTGATGTCTAAACAGCCGCGGGAAATGTTCATGATTTTGCCGCGATCGCGGACGACGACGATGATGTTTCCGTGACCGCGGGAGACGACGATGATATCTGCTCGGCCATGGGAAATGTTCATGATTTTGTCGCGATCGCGGACGACGACGATGACGTTTCCGTGACCGCGGGAGATGACGATGACGTTTCCGTGACCGCGGGTGACGACAATGATGTCTACACGGCCGCGGGAAATGTTCATGATTTTGCCATGATCGCGGACGACGACGATAACGTTTCCGTGACCGCGGTAGATGACGGTGATGTCTAAACAGCCGCGGGAAATGTTCATGATTTTGCCGTTATCGCGGACGACGACGATAACGTTTCCGTGACCGCGGGAGATGACGGTGATATCTAAACAGCCGCGGGAAATGTTCATGATTTTGCCAGGATCGCGGACTACGACGATGACGTTTCCGTGACCGCGGGAGACGACGATGACGTTTCCGTGACCGCGGGTGACGACAATGATGTCTACACGGCCGCGGGAAATGTTCATGATTTTGCCGTGATCGCGGACGACGACGATAACGTTTCCGTGACCGCGGTAGATGACGGTGATGTCTAAACAGCCGCGGGAAATGTTCATGATTTTGCCGCGATTGCGGACGACGACGATGATGTTTCCGTGACCGCGGGAGACGACGATGATATCTGCTCGGCCGTGGGAAATGTTCATGATTTTGTCGCGATCGCGGACGACGACGATGACGTTTCCGTGACCGCGGGAGATGACGATGACGTTTCCGTGACCGTGGGAGATGACGATAACGTTTCCGTGAACGCGGGAGATGACGGTGATGTCTAAATAGCCGCAGGAAATGTTCATGATTTTTTCGCGATCGCGGACGATGACGATGACGTTTCTGAGACCGCGGGAGACGATGATGTCATTGATGTCTACAAGGCGGCGGGAAATGTTCATGATTTTGCCGTGATCGCGGACGATGACGATCACGTTTCTGTAACCGCTGCAGTCAATGATGATGTCCAAACGTACGGTACGCGGAAGATTTCATGATAAAAAAAACCAAATTTGCTAGTTAGAATTTTTTATTGCTGCATTATTTCGTTACTTGAAAACACCACATTATCATAATACTACTTTATGACAAAGACAGGGGTTGGTGGTTTAGAAAATTTGGTTAAGCAATAAAAATTGGTATCGGTATCGAGAATCGATACATTTTGGTATCAACACCCACTAATTGTTGAAAAAACTAGTCTTGAAAAATCTGGAATTAGTCTTGAAAAGTCTGGAATTAGTCTTGGATTTTATAATGGAAATAAACTAGACACCCTGAAATAGCCATACCGTTCCTTTAGAAAAATCATAAAACATTGCAGTGATGTAGATAAACATTTAACAAGATTTACCTTCTAACTGCTGAAATCCTCTTGTGTAAAAAAAAACCCGTACTAATGCCGGAATAGTGAGGTCGGAGGTCTGTCTGTAGACACTTTTCGTTTTAAATTATATAATAAAAATATTATTATTATGTCTTCAACAGCCAACACAAGAGGCTACTGCCGAAGATAAGGAGGAAAGTTCCTTGTGGAAAGTACAGAGTGCCAATGGGGCAAGCGGAGGAGAAATCCAAAAACTGAAAATTTGTCGTCAGAAACTAACAGAATCGCCTGAGATCAGTGAAACCTCTTTGCGTAAGAGGTTAGTGAAGCTGTTAATAATTACTGGTGGTTCACAAGTATATTAGAAAATGTATATATGTTACCATTCAATTTAAATTTTAATTAAATGACAGACTGTGTTAGGTAGGCTACCGTAGGCCTATTGCTAAAAATATTTGCCGTTAAAATTCAGTTGTTTACAAAAACAATAATAGGCCTAGGCCAATTCAAAAATTTAAAAAACCAATTGTAAGAATTTAGCAATTTGAATTTAAAAAAATAAATATAAAAAAAAAATCAGTGGCTTCATGTAAGAAAATTCATCAATAAAAGTTATCAGTTTATGAATTGTTTTTTATAAAAAATCAGGGTTTGTAAATATCTTTTCTTGAAATCGATGACTAAATTAGTTTTTTTTTAGCTAATCACTTAATGGCTTAGCTGTTAGTAGCATTATCTCACCACCTATCACATAAAACCTTTTTAAGTCCGTAATTTCCTATATTATGAAGAAATTATTAATTTTACTCACCAAAGAAGTCAGTTTTGTTTTCGCTAATTTTACTTTTGGTTTAGAGAAACATTTTTATAGTAACTAAATACTTGATAAGCCTAGATTGTACTGATGTTTTCACGTCATAAGTTTTCGTCAGACCTAATTTCCCTTCAGAAGTTTTTATTGAAAAACTTAGTAAGTTTAAAAACCTTTGAAACTTATTTATTATTAGTTTGTGTCTGTTTAAGTATACTTTTGAAGATCAAATGTGTATCTTATACCGGCAAGCAAAATAATGGAAACAATTTTAGTTGACCCACCTAAGTAGACAAAAATATTAGGCTAATTAGAAAAATACCATAAATGTTTCTTAGCTAGACTTTGTAGCGTCTAGCCTACTTATTGAATATATTTGGGAATGAAGGTTCATTGTCAGTGTAGGTATATTCATCACTGATTTTAAGACTTTCTTTTAGATAAAACCTGGAAAATAATCTCTTTAAATTTTTTTACATTAAGTTTTTTTCAACGTATTTTAATAGTAGCCTATCATGGCGTGTGTTTGTATTTGAAAAAAAATTTATTCACGAGTCAAGTAGTTTAGTCCAACAGCTGGATAATGTAGAACATAATGTAATCATAATTACTTTATGTACGTATACGTCATATTGAGTGTGCTTAATACCACTCTGCTGTCAAATAACTAATTAAAATCAATAACTTGGTATCTGCTTGCATACACAAATGTGTTTTTCAACTTCAAATAAGCTGTTGGTGTTATAGGAGAGGACATTTTACAGGTATTCCGGTATTCCTTTACCTTAAATGGTCATTTAGTATGTTAAAGCAACAATTTCTTAATGCTATATAACTAATACACTAAAAATCCATAGAGAAAGTAGGTGTCTGTTTGTTTTATAATGCAATCACTAGATACGTTTTTTTTAACTGGTATCATTTTCTCTTGGTCCAAGCAATAAACTTATTTATGTGTTATGTGGTTTAATAAGTTTCAATTAATTGTAATCCACATAAATGGTGTTTTAATTTTTGTACAGTACTTAAGGGAGGCTTCATATCATAGCCATTAGGGCTACATTGTTATGAATAAAATACTGCTTAGCTTTGCTTGTACTTCATAATACTATGATGTGGTTTAAATGCTATGGATTGTAAACGCTTGGGTAGCAGCAACAAAACTGTTTTGTAATTTTTTAAGCCAAAAGATTCTCTATCACCATTGATAATAGAAACACAACTAGTCCTACTATGTGTTATCTATTTCTATCTAATAACCAGCATTCCAGTAGAATAAAGTTAAAGACCTTCCAAGATTCTAATAGAGGAAATATAAACTAAGCTAGTATAACTTAAACATTATGTTTTTATTTTTGTTGCCGTAAAGATCAATCAATAGGTTGGCCTATAGGGGGAACCAGGGATACTTGACCCAATTTTCAGTTTTCTATTTTTATTTTTTATTCTAAATGTTGGATAAACTTATCAAAGGCCTTAATGTAGTCTCAGACATCTGATACACCCTATATTATTTTTGTATACTATAATTTTAGGTTTTAGAATAGTTAGAATTTTTTTTCTAAACTATTGCAAAAGGGTCAAGTATCCCAGACCGTAAGGATACTTGACCCACCGATTAAGGATACTTGACCCATGTATGTTTGGAAGCAAGGATATGTATAAAAAAAATTAACACATAATGACAGTTACAAAGTAATGTTTTATTGTAGTACATGAACTAAAAAATACCTACTTAAGTAGTTAGACCTACTTAAAAGTTCATAGGCACCGTCATAAAATGTATAAAAACAATATTTTTAATGTTATAGGCCTTTAGAAGCATAATGCATAAGCATATAATGACAGTTACAAGGTAAGGTTTCATTGAAGCCTATATAGTACCCTACAGTAACTAAAAAAAGTAGTTAGGCCTACTTTAAAGTGCATAGACACAATCATAAAATGTAGGCTATAAAAACAAAATTTTAATATTAGCCCAACTGAGTTTAATAGGCCCTACTCCTATTCAATGATAAAGTTAAATTCATTTTTAAATAAAAAAACTAGTGACACGATCATTTTGGTAAATGAATTTTGGTGGTTGAAGACGTGATACGATCTGCTCAGGTTCAACTGTGGAAATGTCCTCTATTTCAGGCCACTTGAAACGACTCCCCTCCTTGGAAACGACGATCCTTTTTGCAAACTTCACTGTTGCCTCCTCCGAAGATATCTCAAGCACTAACCCAACATAATATTTAATGCTTCGTTGACCAATAAACTTCACAACAACCCAATTATTTACTTCTGGTAGCCATAAATTTACTTAGAACCCAGGCAATAAAATATGTACAGGTTGGGTCAAGTATCCCTAACTTGCCTGGGTCAAGTATCCCTAACTGTTCCATCCTCATTTAACCTCAAATTTCACCCAACTTGGACTGATTTAGAAACGGTTATATATCATCATTTTGTAGCTAAACAAATGCTTATTCAATATAAATCACAGAAAATAACTTACCTTGAACTGTTTTCTGTTAATACAAATAGTTGTATAAACTCAAAAATTTACATTTCGGCCAGTGAAACACATTTAATTTTATACTGCACAAGCAACTCCACAGATCAGAATGGCTGTTCCCTCCAATTTGTCATACAACCTAAAGCCAAGCAGTGATGCCATTGCCAACTCTCCAAAATTTCCCACTGCTGGGAAAATACCCTTGGGTCAAGTATCCTTATGGGTCAAGTATCCCTGGTTCCCCCTACTTCTCATAAGCCTGAATTAAAAACACATTGATGAAATAATATTGTCCTATTCTAAAATATCTCTCACCTCTGTACCATCTGCTTTTCGTCCAATTCCACTCAGCTGTTTTGAAGAAAATTCCAGTGTATCCATTCATACTTTTTGCTTTCTGTGATGTTATAATACATAAATAAAGTAAAATGATTTAAGCGAACAATAGTTTTAGTAAACAAAATAATCTTAGTTATGAGTTATAATCTTATCGTATAAAGAAGAGTTGATTTTGGTGTGATTTGAAATGTACAAGTCTTCCTACTTGTGTTAAGGTTAAGCCGGATGCCGAGAGACAGTCGCAGCACCGACGAATCCACACAAGAGGAAACGGAGAAGGACACAAAGAAATCCAAGCACAGAACACGCACTTCGTCCAGGAATAGTCCGTTAGTTTCTCCCACAGTGGTTTGTGATATGTCTGAAGGCTCACCGACAAAAATAAAAATAATAAATGTCAGCCATCTAAATACAGAAAATAAAAGTGCAAAACAGGCTGGGGAAGTTGTAGATACTGAATCAAAAAGCGAACAAATACTGGAGTTAAGTCAAAGTGATACTCTCGATATTGCTTTGCCAAATGAAGAATCTCAAATAATAGAGGCTGAAGTAAACGAATCTGTGGCTGAGAAGAAAAATGAAGAACAAAAGAAAGAGAAAACCCCTGACACCAAAGAAAATAGTCCTAAATCTGAAGTTGGTGATGATTCTAAAGATAAAGGGAAGGAAGTTGGACTTCCAGTTGAAGAGAAGAAAGAAGATAAAAGCGCTGAAGTTTCTCCAAGAAAAACAGCTTCGCCCAGCCCAAGGTATAAACTTGGTCAACATTTCTCACAATTTCATCGCACTCCTTACAAATCATCCATTCACTTCATCAACTAACCCTAAACAGGGTGTCCACATTCTGGAAAGTCAGGGATAGTCATGGAAAGTCATGGAAAAAAATTATGGTCATTGAAAGTCATGGAAATAGGCAAAAAGTCATGGAAAGTCATGGAAATCCCCAATGATGGATGGATTTCAGGGGACCTTTCAATGCTATAGTCGGCCGTAACCGCGACTATTGTAGCATTTTTCCGATTTTTTAACAAATGTACGACAATTTCAATTAATACAGTCGTCTTAGTTTATGGGTTTTGAGTTTTTATTAGTTCATTGTTGTACCTATTGTACTCCATTGTTATCTGTTAATACATATTTCAATATTTTCTGTGAAATAACTTGTCTAGGCAGTATTATTCGTGTGTGTACGGTATATTATAATTTTTGAGTTTAGTTCGTGAGTCATGGAAATCAATGGTTAATGGTCATGGATAGTCATGGAAAGTCAGGGAAATTGATGACAAAATTTCTGTGGACACCCTGCTAAACAATATTACTGTTCACCACATTAACCAACTAACCTAGGTAATGGCATAATTGCATGTTAAATTAATTTCGTTGTTTTGTAAATTAATGAGAAACTTAAATTGTAGTCCTGCGAGGAGGAATCTCAGCAGATCAACAGAGAACAGCGAGAATTCAGGAGATGAGTCGCAACAAGAAGCAAACAAACGTCAAGGACTTCAATCCTCGGTTCAGCGGAAACCTACCACTTCAAATAGCCCTAAACAAGAGTCTTCTGAGTGAGTATCTAAACGCAAAATAATTTACATAGCAAGTTTCATATAAATTACTAGCGTACAATCAAGCCTTTTCATTATCGTCATCAATTAAGCGGATTTAGTTTCTTGGGTTTGGGGGTGGACCTCTTCCCTCTTTAAATAAACAGATAATAATCAACAGATGATAATAGGTGATGAAGTTGCTTATCATCTTCAAATTTCTAATAGGCTCGTAGTTACCATTAAGCCTAAGATCGGTTTTCATTAGGTCCTCTTTTATGTCTCGCTTTTTTTGGTCTTCCAACTCTTCTTTTTTCACCGATTTTACTCTTGAAACATATTCTATGCTATTAAAATTAAACCTTAACCTTTACTCAGATTTAGTTCCTTTAATAGGTTTTTATTGTTTTTAAAAATAAAATCATATTAAAAATAACCATTTTAGACTATTGAGAGTGGCCATATAGGAAAAACTGTGTACCTGCCAATAGTAAACGTGCATTTTTCATAGGTACGGTAGGTAATTAAAGGTTTTAATGAAAGTTAAAAAGTCCAAGAATTAGTTGGGAAATCGAGTTTTGAAAGTTTACATTTAGGAAAAAATTAACAGAACATATTTGAAAGTCTACTCTAAAATAGAATAATAAAACCCTAAACGCTATCTAAACTAAAAATCAACTAATAAATAAAAGTTATTATATAGAGGCTAAAATTTTTTTTTACTGTTTTACTTCTAAAACATTGTATAGCAAGCCTATAAGCATGTCCATTGGCATACACGCTTTTATGTAGTAAATAACTGCGTATAAACAAATGTCAATCAAACCATAACTAGCAAGATGAGTTAGTTCAAACTTAAACCTCTGTTTTTTTATCTTTCAAAGAAATGTTGGTCACGTTATTTAGTGAAAGTAGTTTAGCATTCATTAAATTGTAATTGTAAGTTTTGATTTGAATGTTTGATTTTATACATTTAACAAAATGAAGGGGAGGTTTTACTTTTACCAATTTGTCTGGTTGAATGTGCTTTGCATTAAGTGGTGTGATTTGTTTTAGTTTTTAACCAAAATAGCAAGCCCCCAGCTGATTGATGGTAGCTTAATCCCATGGTTACTGAAAAAGAGGTTGCCTCAGTCGCGCGTATGACGTCACCCACCGACCTGGTCAGTGCTGCTTTTAATTCACACAGCTGCCACCTGTCAAATTCTTTGATATTATTGTTTGTTTTTTGGGTTACGTCATATGCGCGACTGAGTCAACCTCTTTTTCAGTAGCATTGGCTTAATCCTACCAGTTTCTACACCCATACACCCTGGTAACGGTTTACTTGGAAATAATTATGTTTGAAATCAAACAGCAAAAAATTAATCGGTTAAATGACCATTTGAAAAAAAAAAATCTGTACATGTGTCAATAACAAAACACTAGTATTAAAATATTTTACTCTTTCCCTTTTCACCAGTCATTAGTTTTTGTTTCTTCTCTTATTTTTCAACTGTGACCATTAACATGAACCTAAATACTGTGCCTTATTGATGGTAACATATAGAAAGTTTAAATATAAATATTGTTGCTTTATGACCAAATTAATTAGTAGTCCTCTTCATTATTGATCTTGTAATATTACCTTGCAAGTAAAAATTGCTAGTGATTTAATTTGAGTGTTATTTGTTTTTAGTTAATTGTTATCTGTAACATTATTGATGTGATCTTTTCTATGTTTCCTATTTAATGATCAAATAAGTACTCTTTAGATTGTCTATTGATAATCACCGTTACTTGTTCTGTTGTTGATTAAATAAATATCATACTAGTTTCATCTTCAATATTTCAATATTACTTTTTTATTTCTTGCGATATTCATTCCAGAAAGTTATTTCATAGGAATTGGAATTAATTCAACATTTTGACTATTGAGCAACCAAAAGAGTAAAAAATTATTAATAATACTAATTTTTACTGTTGAAATTTGTATAGGCTAGATAAAGAAAAGCGAAAATACCTAAAATGACCATCCAACTACCATAGTTTTTGACATAGAATGGCTTGAAGAGCCAAGACTCGGACTGCTACTGATTTGTTACATTGAGAATATTTGTTTCAGCTCTGAAGACAGCAAGAACAAGAAGAAAGAGAAGAAAGAAGATCGACGGGAATCTACGGACACAAATGAGACCAAAGAAACCATTAGTATTAACAACAAGGTATGATGAAGTCCTATTCTCTAACATTAATGTTTTATAAGCCGTTGGAAAATGTCCAAGGCATTAAGTATATGGAGAAAACAAACCTTTCTATAAATAGAAAACTAAACCCAGATGGGCCTGCTGTATGAATTATTGATGTGATCTAGTGGGATTTTTTTAAATGAAAAAAATAGCCTATTTAATTTAGTAAATTTACTTTTAAAGTTAGTTTGATTAAGCACTCACTACCGATACACTGTAGGATATCAAAATCTTCAGTTTATTCTTTAATTAATATTCAATATTATGTTCTCTCAGTTTATGAAACGTTTTACATATTTTTGTAAAATAGTTAATTTTAAATTTGGAGAGTGATACATGCATAATATTTCTTAAAAATGCATTAACCGTTGTATTTTGTGTGTTGATTTATACTTGTTTGGTACTGTATTGTTTACTATTTGTTTTTTGCAGGAAAATGAGGCGGAAGGCCAGGAAAACCATCTTTCATCTAGTGGGCCTACAGGTTGGTTGAATGTGTAAATAGTTACTTTATTAGTTAAGGAAAAAACAAACATTTACCAATTGGCTTAAAAATAGTGAACCTTGTAAGTATTAAAAAAGTCCTCTCTAGCGTAAAATAAATAAGTCAAGTAATTTTGTTGATGCTTGAGGATTCTATCCCAACAAGGATTTTATATAGGTTCAAGCATTGCCTATACAGATTCTACGCTCTATTGATAACTAAACCATTCAGTTTCCAAGTATTTTTATAGATTGTGCCATCTTACGTAAGTATTTAATCCTTATTGATCCTAATTGTTACCTTGTTAATAACCTTCAATTTTCAATTGAAATGGAAAGCAAGGAGAGTATTGGGTATATTTAGGTCTACATTTTGATTGTTGCTTCTGTAATAGGACTACGATACTAATAGGTTCATTACAAATCTTTGTCTAAGAAATCAATGTATTAGGACTTCAAGAATGGGTACATTTTGTTTGTCAATGGTTGTACACAAAAATCTAATGATCTGTTAAGAATTTTCTTTGCTTTTTCAGTTTTTCAGACTCAGTTATTACTTTTTTTTAAGTAGTTATAATATTTAAATTTATTTTCAGTCATGAAATCTGTTTGAAAATCCACAGATATGTTTATTCTTTTTTTTTATTTTCTAGTTAAAAGTCAGGGTTTATAGTTCCAGATTCAAATGCTGATGAAAGCTATGAAAAAACTGATAAAGCGCCTTTACCCAGAAAAAGACGATGGGGTTCCAGCAAGTCAAGCAGGGCAAGCAAGAAACCAGTTCTCATAAATACAGACTGTTTAAAGGTATTAAATCAAAGTATAAATATTAAATACACTCATGCAATGAGGTTAAGAAAGTAAAGGTTGTACGGCTCAGATGAAAAATGATGGATTTTGTGTAAGTTAAAATAAAATTCTGTATTCACTCGTAACAACACTTAACTTGTCTTACAATGCACTCATAAAGACTGGAGTGTTGTAACAAAAATTAACTAGCAAAGTTAATACAGGTAGGCCTAAAGGATTTTATAAAAGAACCAGAAAAGACTTAACGAGTAAACATATTATTTTAAAAAGCATCTTTAAAAAATTCCAACAAAAGTTTGTGTAAATATTTCAAGGCTGTATTTGTTGGAGGTAATTTTTAGTAATAGGTTGTGTTACTAGTTGAAAACTTTTACTTTAATGTATTTTAGACAACTTTCATAGAATTAAAGCCTATGGTGAAGAAATTGAATTTGTTCTGATATTGCTTTAGATATTTATGTTTAGTACAATCTTAAAAAATGTCAATATCATTAATAATTAGTTTTGAACTGTTAAATTAGGTTAAGTTTACATCTGAAAGGGTAAAAGACTCGCTGGACTTGACATTGAGTTTTGTGGTGTTGTAGAATTTGATTCCGGATGCCAAGCCTGTGCCAGCAGACGAACTACAACTGTCAGTGGAGGAAGAAGAAGGGCAACTGGACGATGATGATGAGGAAGATGAGGTGAGGGTTGTCCAGAAAGTAATGGAAGTTTTGGAATAAAAAATAGTTGTTTTGAAAGAATGAGCTCTTGGATGAGGAATACATTCAGGAAGAAGGAACGAATACTCATCAAACTTACCCTAGAAGATAGTTCCATTCAGTTGACCCACACAAATTTTCACAACAGATATTATGCTCCTGCAAGGGCCAGCCGGGGAAAAGACCGGCTCCTTCAGAAGGAGTAGTTGAATTCTTAGATTAACCATTGTTGTAATTTTAACCGTTATTATGCTATGTTGGCCCCTTTTTTCTGTCCTCTGCATGGGAATTAACTGCATGCACAATTCTAGACATTTGTATATAGCTTTATGCTGTATTGTTAACAACACTTTTATATTGATAAACTCCAGATTGTTTCTTTGTTTGTTCATGATAAATTTTAGTAGTAAATTATTTTAATATGTTCTAATTTTTTTCTCCCCAAACCAAGCAATAAACACACTTCACAAATTACACGATTTTAATTGCAAAGTTAATAATGAGTACTGTAGACAATGTAGAAGAAAGGCAGTGCCGTAGTTATTTTAGCTGGATAGACACCAATTTTTAGATGAGGTTTACCCTAGACAAAATCATTAAATATTTTGATGTTTTACTACTCTAGATTGTTGCAATGGTGGCCAAGGAGGAAGAAAAAGAAAGACAGCGAGAACAGAGAGAAAAAGATACAGAGAGGCAGGAGAAAGAGAGACAGAAGAGACAAGCACGATTTGCCAAAACTGCCTCGGAACAACAACCAGCACCAGCACCCAAGCCTCAAACAGCGCCAAAACAAGAAAAAGAAAGTATGTGGTGCAGTTTGGAACAAAATGTACTCAAACTCTTTGATACCGATATTATTAACAATAAATAAATCAGAATCTTTTCCATTAATAACCACTGTAATACCCAAATTAAGTTTAACACAAACACCCTGATAAATAACTAGATGTTTGCACTGTCACACAAAGCTGTAATATCATTAACTGAAGTGTGTTACTCGCAGGTTCTGCATCTCGTAAGATCCTGCTGCTGACAGATGATGTAAAGAAGGTAGCGCGGTCGCCGTCTCCTCCACGGCGCAAACCCACCAATGTGCTGTACATCACGCATCTAGTGCGTCCCTTCACTGTGCAGCAACTGAAGAACTTGCTACTGCGGACGGGCGCCATCGCTGAAAATGGCTTCTGGATTGACAAGATCAAGAGTAAATGCTATGTTGAGGTGAGATTTATCATTTACACCATTACACATTATTTATGAGTTGGTGTAAAACTTTGGAACTGAGCCTTCTAAATTGTGATGAATTATTTTGAAATCTGTTTATTGGGAATTAAAAACATAGTTTAGGCTAAGGGTATTCAAGGCAGAATCAGCTGCCCTTAGTGACAAGATTGTTCAATGTATCTCGCCCTTTAAACCTCTTTTGTTTATTAAATACATCTTAAATAGTTTTGTTATTTAAATGTAGTAAAAATAAATAGGCCATGAGAAAATGATTAGTGGTACGAAATGGGAACACCTCTATTTCACGTAAAGAGTCACTAACTACGGCGTATAAGATGTTATCTGCTCCTAAGTTACCCATTGATTATAGTCTTCAATTTTAAAGTCACAAAGAAATTACCTTGGCAAACACCCTCCTGTGATGAATCAAAAATGACTAGCTTACACAATTAAGATTTCCCTTACGAGTATTCCTAAGCCAAGTGTTTTTTTCTCGAGAAACTTGCATTTTTCCTCTTAGTGCTTAGTTTTATTCCTTGGAGATGGGAAACAGCTTTCTGATTTCTGAAGCATCATCAGGAGTAGAGAACCTCCCATGAAAGTAGTGGACACTCCTCACTTTTGCCATGAATTTAGGCGAGATGATGTAAATATTGCTTGAAATGGGAAACGGCAGACGATTATTTAGTAGAGTCTCAGTCTATGGTTGTTCTTTCATGGCTTTTCCCTGTGTTTCCGATGGTGGATTTAATCAGATGTTTAATACTTGATGTGTTTTGCAGTATATGACAGAGGACCAGGCAGTCGAGACTAGACATGCACTGCATGGTGTGCGCTGGCCCTCTAGCAACCCTAAGACTCTGGTGGTGGAGTTTGCGTCCAAGGAGGACCTGACTATAGCACAGACGCTGACGGAGGAGCCTGAGGTGCCTCGCAAGTCTGAGCCTCTGACCATGGTGGAGGGCTGGTTGGCGGAACAGGCGAGGATAAAGGATCGCACCAAGAAGGTCAGTGTGAGACATAATAACCATGACGTCCAAGTTCATTTTCTAGATGGATAATCCACTAGAGTAGGGCTATACAGTATGAGGTTAAAGATGTAACATAAAGCACAAAGGCCTAGGTTTTTAAGTTTTGCGAGGATAGCAAGCTTACCATTCAGGCACAAGAAACACAAAACGTAAAGCTGGGTTTTCCTAGACGCGGAGTCGGCCAGCGGAGAGCGGACAACGGAGAGCGGACTCAGCTTGTCTTAGGTAATTTAATGTTACTGTTTTCCTAGCAGCGGAGCGGAATGCCATGTTAATTTCAATTCCGCTCTCCGTTGTCCGCTCTCCGCTGGCCGACTCCGCGTCTAGGAAAACCCAGCTTTACGACTATATCCACAAAACCGTAGGGGCAAAAACTTGAAAACAGGACAATTGCTGTCCCCAGCATTTGAAAAAAATTATACTTACCTACATTAATAAATCTTATATTTTTTGAAAGTTTGGTCTTTGTAGTTCATAAATATAATGTTTTTAAGTCTGAAATTAATTTATATAATTAATTATTACTAGAAGAGAAATTTGGGGACAGGTTTTTGTGTAATGTGGGTCACACACAAAATCCTAAGTTTTGACACAGTTAGCTTGAAAGAATTATGGTAATTATGATTCCATTAGCTTTTTAGGTTACCAAATAACAGTCAAGTGTGAAAAATATAATAGTTTATGAATATATTTGATGTTAAAAGCTCAAATAAAACTGTAATAAATTTGTGGACATGATTTCAGGATCTCTCTTTTTCCTTTATCCAACACACAATACTTATTATAGGTTGTTTTTTGTTTTTTTTCAAATAATGTACTTATAAGTACAATTTCCAATTATAAAACGACCATTTGAATTAGTGGTTTTTATTATATGGCAACAAAAACTTTGTGACCCACCATTACAAGAGTGACCCAAATTACAGCTAATGTAGGTCACGTGACTGACATTACATGTAATGCAGGTAACAAATTTTCAGCTGGATCCATTAACTAACATTACAACAGAGGTGTCAGCAATTTGTTAATTACAGTAATGCATAATATTAGTAACGCTGTGTCACCTTTTGATTTTATCGTCTGCTGATAGGTCACATCAGACTGAGCGAGGTTCGTAATTTTCTCGCTAATCTCGCAGCCAAACTCTGGCCGCCCAGATTGTCATATAGTCTCCACAATCGGAATATTTATCGTAAAGAAAATAAATATAAGCAATCACCAATCATATCGTGGGTTACTGGAAAAAAAAAAATTCTCGACATTGAAAACTCATAAGAGAAGTAATTTGGGTCACAAAATGTACCAAAAGTAATGCTGGTCTCACCTCAGATCCTCAGATTTTGTGACCGACATTAGCGTGACCGATATTAGCATTTTTACTCTCGTCATTGACTAAAACGAAACATGGTGGCATAGTTCCCTTCGCAAGCTATTATGTTTGATTTAATATTTGTTTTACTTATATTTTCTTAGTTTTCAATAACTTATTCACCTTATTGTCACAGTTATCAAGGGTACCGAGCATTACGCAAAAACATAACGCTAACAAAACAGGTTTTAAAAAACGAATTACCTGTTAACCTGCAAAGCCTGGAGTCACATCGCGTCTGACCTACCACACCCACATCTAACAAGGAACTGAGAGAGGGCGAAGTCTTGTTCCACCCGAAGTCGAGAAGGTTCAATGACCCGACGAGAACCGGTCCCAACCCTCGAACCCAGCATTACGTTCCCGGCTGGGGACGCGACTTTTAACGCCCGCTATTGCCGTTATATTTAATTAAAAAGTCCGTTTGATGTATTTTTATAATCTTTTAACATTATTCATCAATTTAAAACCAAATATTACAACAATATCGTCTTAATACTACTGAAGAGGTAGGGTTATTGTATCCAACTTCTAATCTTGGGGACAGGGTTTTTGCATTAAATGTAGACAACATGAACTTTTTAAACACACTTTTCTTTATTAAATACAACAAAAACAAATACAAATTACACATTTTTATATAAAGTAAAGTATGATAAATTATTTAAAACCATTAGAAGTAAGAAATACATGACAGAAGAGAGATAATTAGCTGGAGACAGCAATTGTCCTGTTTTCAAGTTTTTGCCCGTAGAATACTTCACTGTCACTGCAACTCCCTGGCCACCATATTAGACCTAAACTAAACCCTCTCTTCTTTAGTTGAAAATGCTGACAGTGACGGTGAAATATTTGAATGTTTTGTATATATAGTGTAAAGTTTTGTGTTTCATTGTGCCAGTTTGGACTCTTTCCCATTCAGGCAAGCCTGCTATCCCCACGAAAAAAAACCTTAAAGAGTAATATGGTGTTTTTAAAATATTGTGCAAATAATAGGAAATGATCACAGTGTCTGAGATGATCATGGTTGTTACCAGATACAGCAGGAGATTATCACAACTTAGATGTAATTTTTATGAAAACAGTTAAGAAAATAAATTTTATATTGCAAAATTAACTAAAAAAGAACATAAAGAATCAACTTTTACAGTAGATTCTATGTTTTGTTTTATAAAAATTTTATTTCAATTTAGTTTTGATGTAAAATCCTAGATCATTACCATTGTAGAACATGCATTATCTGTCTGTGAGCCATATCCAAATATCCTTACTTGTGTCGTTTTGCATAATTTAAATAATTTAATGTTTTTAAAAGGCTGTTGTCCGAGAGTGGGATGTTGGTAAACCTGAACATCCCGATGAAGCTTTGGAGTACGAGATGAAAATGAAAGAGAAAAGGGAACAAGAACGCAAAGCCAGAAAAGAGAGACATCATCGTAGTGCTAGTCCTGAAAATGGACCTCCAGGTGATTACAAGTCCTTTTACAAGTGTTCCATTTCAAACCAATCCAAGTATCGACCAATGTACCTTTTTAGTTTACAAAGCGCTACCTAACTAATTATTTAGTATGTAGAGAAAAGCCAAAAGACTGATAGGGACATTTTAAAGGGGTAAAATTAATTTATTTTACTGATAAATAGGGTTTAAGAAGTAGAGAAAAGCCAAAAGACTGATAGGGACATTTTAAAGGGGTAAAATTAATTTATTTTACTGATAAATAGGGTTTAAGAAGTAATAGGCACGAAAATTGGCAGAAAAACACAACACTGATGGTTTGTCCTAGTATAGTACTTCAGAGAATCTAGAGTATCATTTTCTCTTGATCGGTTTGTATGAAAACAAGACTTGTTTAATGTGATTGTTATCATTCTAACATTCTTAAAACAAAATTTTCATGATACTACCCTTCCAAGTAACCAATTCTCAATGCAACGTATTGCAAATTCCTAAGTGGCAAATATTTCGCCTGCTACATTTTCCTCACATTATTTTTCATCGTTATAATTGGACTGTGAGATTGTCCCCGAATAACTAAGGTAATGTTTTTAGCTCGCAAGCCACGTAAGAAGGAGGACGACGCACCTGCCAAACTGTTGGACGATTTGTTCAGGAAAACAAAAACCTCACCCTGTATATATTGGCTTCCTTTGACTCAGGAACAGGTAATATATTGTGTCATGTGTTGAGGGAATGATGTTGTAGGCCATAGAACATTCAGAAGAGCCACTAAACACACAATATTTTGTCCTCTAGGACTTTGTCAAGTGTAGAGATTGAAGAGAGTTTTCAAAAGATTTTACAATTAAAATCCCTGGCCCGGAGCCTTTACCTTGATCATATCTAACCTTATTGGAACAAAAGTATGTTAATTGCACAATGTTCTTTTAACCACCAATTTTATGAAGCAAATTTTAAGGGGGCTGCAAGACAGATCTTATACTTCAATACAATACTTCAATTCCATACAACTTTTACTACTAGTTTTCCACTCCCCCACCTTTAAAATTGAAAAGGCTGACAGCAAGTCGTAGGATGTTTTTTACAAGCTGATATGAGGCAAAGAGAATTCTTGCTCTTCTTACGTAAAACGGTTTACATTTACAAAGTACAATTTTCTCACCAGGATGATTTTAGATTTTTCGAATGATTTATCAGGTGTGTTTTTTGGTTGGTTTCAGATTGCAGTTAAAGAAGAAATCCGGAGGCAACACATGGCCGAACATGAACGGAGAATGGCAGAGATAAAGAAGGCAGATCTCGCTCGTCGAGAGCGCGAGAGAAGAAACCGTAAATGAAATACGGACAGACAATGACGTCTGAAATATTGAGGCCAAGATAGGCTCGCAGCAGCCCACAGCGTTAGGCGACATTCTCGTAACTGACGCGGTCTCTGATGGGTAAGGCAAGGTTTTGCCTAACCTAGTTCCAATTTACGGTTCTTGGCCCAATCGTTAGGCGTCTTGTCAATTTTATTTGTTCCCTTGTTTTTTGTACAGTTTTTGTGATTATTGATTCCCGTAGCTATTTCTAGGTTTTTTGTAAAAAGGTTTTTTTGTTGTAAGATTTTTTGTAGACTTTATTAATCGTACGGGTTAGATGTAACATTTTATCTAACAATTTTCTCATGCCAAATGATCAGCATTTCGGTTGCTGAAATTAATTATCTATATTTTTTATGACTTTAAATTTTTTTCAAAATTCAAGTGCATGTTTGACATTTGTTTAATTAACATGCCGGTGACAGAGATGTCTGCTTTAACCTCCCTGCTCTAGACAATAGTTTGTTCAGGGATTACAGCATTTATTTTACAGGTCATCATAGTAAGTCGTCCATCGGGATTCTTCTCTTCACGAAGAAGATGTTTTCAAGAAAATCTACTTGCGATTTTGTCTTATTGCAGCTTTTTGATGGGAGTGAACTTCATAATGATTTTGTATTAATGGAGTTTTTCACAAAATTCTTTGATAAAGTTGTCACAGGACTCGAGAAGTGGATGTGCAATAATGAAGTACAAATATGTGTATTTGTATGAGACAACTACAAGGACATTTATCTTCGTATTTCATATAGGAGAAGGACGTTCTTAGCAGTGCACATTTTGAGAAACAACAAGCGACATTAACCTTTTTTTAATAATTTGATTTTAAACAGTATACTCTGCTTTTTGACTTCACACACAAGAAAACGTCAAACCTTTTTCAAGGTTATTAATTAGAATCAAGTTGTTGACAACATGAGTATTATTTTACACCATAACTATTGTAAATGTATTTTATATTTTCTAAAACATGTTAGTTAAATAAATATTTTGTTGAAAGCCATACCTGCTTGTTGATTGTACCCCATTGTATCACCAATTTTAGTGTAATTTTTCACTACTGTTGAAAATTATAACATCAAATTAAATTGACAATTAATTCTTTCAGTCTAACAGTTTGATTTCTATTGATAGGAGTTATTTTTGTCATGAGTTCATTAGTTTGTTATTTATCAGATTGCTTGCTTGTCCGTCAGAATTTCAGTCAGGGTAACATGATCTAGTTTCTGCAGAGATTACTAAAAATCTGTAGTCTGTGTAATTTTTTGAAAATCTTTTTGACGAATAATGTCTAAACGTAACTTGTCAGACAATCTCTAACATGTAGTGTCAAAACTTGCTGTATATGTTTTTTAAAGCCATTATTTGTCATAAAACGAGATCCTGGGGCTATATTTGTCTTACTAGAGCTGTAAGTATTTAGGATTTAGAATTTGATTTCTTATTTGGTATTGTATTAATAAATACCTTAAGACAAAGCTAATCTCAATCCTTCTGACTGGATTTTTTCTAGTGATAGACAAGACCCGAAACTTGGAGATTTTTTTTATCTCGAAGCTTTGGGCGGGATTGAAATACTAACGTGATATTTTCAAGACGAGATTTAAAAAATTAATTTTTAAAGTTATAAAATCTTTATAAATTCTTGAAATTTTAAAGTTTTATAAATTCTTGAAATTTTAAAGTTTTTAAATTTCTTAAATTTTAGTTTTTTATATTTTTGTAATATTAAAGTTTAAAAAAAATTAATTTAAATTTTTTTAAAGTTTAAAAAATTGTCCAAATTTTTAAAATTAAGTTTTTTTAGAATTTAAAAAAACTTTAAAATTTTAAGAATTAAAAAAAAATTTAATTAAAAAAGAAATTGGATTTAAAAAAAAATTATATTTTAAAATAAACTTTACGAGTGATTTATTCTTTACATGGTTATGTTTTTAGGAAAAAGCATTTAGCTTGGATTAAATAAATAAATATAGGATGGAGAGGACACAGCTAACTCACCTGATGAAAGGTTGCAGATGAGTCAAAGAACACATAAAATCACACACATAATATACTTAATATTTCGCCTCTTCAGAAGGCCTAGATGGTAGTTACAAAACAACTATCAGGTGAGTTAGCTGTGTCCTCTCCATCCTATATTTATTTATTTACTAGCTGTACCCGCGGGCTTTGCCCCGTTTAACTTCATAAGTATTCGCATGGCTCAATCACGTCCTTGTTGAAGTTCGTTCGCTACGCTCACTCACCTTTAGGTTGGAGCTCGTTCGCTGCGCTCACTTGCCTTCAGGTTAGCTTGTTCGCTACGCTAACTCGCCTCCAGGTTGAAGTTCGTTCGCTACGCTCACTCACCTTTTGGTTGCAAATTAGCTGTTGTCATAAATTAAAAAAATAATAGTGCTGCACCCTGTTGGTAATCCTTGTAACTTTAATGCTATTGAACAACATAGAATAGAACCAACTTGTTTAATTGAAACAGCTGTTAAGATTCATTAATTCCTTTTAAATATGAAAAATCATGTTTAACATGGGAAACTCCAGAGCCACTGGGGCGGAGCCAGAGAGTCCGATCAGAATAAAAACGACTTACGCCTCTTTCACACGACGCGGCGCCCGCCGGATCCGGCGTAGGGCTATGGGAGTATATGAGTCCTTTCACACTATGTCCGGCGCGCGCCGCGCGGCGAATTCGCCGCACGGCGCGCGAGTTACCGCCGGATGCACCTTGAGCCGGACGACAGCGCCGCGCGGCGTCCACGCCGGACAACTCGGTGAAGGTGCATTGGTTCTTATGGGAGCTTTCACACGGTGCGGCGCGCGCCGCACGGCCCAACCCCTACGCTGCCTCATTTTAGGCAAACTACCTGACCAAGAGGGTGCAACAGTTAATTAAGAAATTATATATCGTTGTATCGGAAAATTATATATTTAAAGTTATTACAAAACATACATTTTTATGTTAATCCCATGCAAATCGACCAACTTAAAGTATTAAAACAAAAATTTCCTTTAATAACTAGAGGAGAATATTTAGTATTAAATTAATAATTTAGTAATTTATACGTAATGAAACATTTTTTTAACTTCTAGAATACAATATTTTCAGATATGACGAATACTTATATATAATACGTGAAGGTGATTTCTACGAAATACTACTCCTCCGTTAATAATGAACCGATTTTTACAAACGATGTGTCAAAATTAAGTATTTGTTGTGTACACACCCCCTTTCACCAATTCCTGTAGTAAAAGTCCTCGGGCTTTGCCGCTCAGGCCATCAAAATCCCAATGTATATCTTATGAAGACAAGATTTTGTTTAGTTAAACGGACGAATAATTTGTATTAATTACAGCTGTTCATAGTACACACATGATACACACAAGAGTTTTCGTTTTCAGTTTCGATAGATGGAGTGGAGTGAGCGTTCGTTTTCAGAGTGAGTTCGTTTCCAGTTTCGGTAACTGGAGTGGAGTGATTGGTTACATTATCTTTGAGTTGACTCTCACACGTCAACGGAAATAGTGACAGTTATTCATAAAAAAACTCCTTTAATATTTTGCAATTGCTCAAATTCGAGCAACAGGTGCACTAGTTTATTATATTTAAAATTATCCTATTCATTTAATTTGAACTTTTAAGTGGAGTATTCATTTAAAAGCCATAACTGAACAGAAAATAATAAATATTTAGGAGTGCCGTACGGCGCGCGCCGCACGAAACCGTACTAGTGTGAAGACACACGCTTGTCCGGCGCAGCGCCGCGCGGCGGACGCCGTACGGCGCGCGCCGCTTCGTGTGAAAGAGGCGTTAGTTTTCCCATTTAATGCCTAAAGAATCAGTGTACCAAATTTCAGCCTCCTAGGTAAATGGGAAGTGGGAGAATTAGTGATGAGTGAGTGAGTCAGTCAGTGAGGGCTTTGCCTTTTATATATATATAGATTCTTTACATGGAAATATTGCTTCAATAGTATAATAATTTTGGAGAAGTTGCAAAAAATGAGAAGTTTTGTTAGTCTAAGCAGTGTGAGCCATGTTTTACTACTGTAAACATAGCCAAAATAAGTCACTTAAAAATCGATCTAAAAATAACACAAGACTTAAAAATTGTTACTTGATTCTTAACTAGTTTACTGTTGTTTTTTCAAAGTTGAACTATATACTAACTGATATCTCCATGTTTCCTATGCAATAAAAGATGTTAAATATTTTTGTCAAGTTTCAAAACTTGCAAATATTTCTGAACTTAAAAAGTAGGTACTAAATTTTTTTCTAGCTATTCGTTAAATCTTGTTCCAAAAAATAATCCCGTCCTGCGCTAATTAAAAAAAATCTCGTCTCGAAGTGAAAAATCTAGTCTTGTCCATCACTAATTTTCACTATAATATTTCCACAAACAAGACATATTTTTTATTCCTCATTTCAATCACATTAGATTTAACAAGTAACTTGGATTTGCTACCACGGGGAAGTTATAAAGTGTTCCGTTACCTGACCAAATGTTCTTAGTATGGGAAGGAATAAATAAGCTGCCAGATTTGATTAACATACAGTATCATAAATAAGCCAACTACAACAGTTTTAGTTTTCTCCATAAGAATAACACAGGAATTTTAAATGTACAGTTTTTTTTTTTAATTTTCTACAAAACTAGTTGAACAAAAACACCTCAATATACAAATTATTTAAATAGCTTTGTTGGGTAACATTTTGAAAAAAAACCTTTTTTTGGAAATTTCTAAACTAATACCCTGTTCCCGTGACTCAATTTAATTTTCCTGGTTTGCAAACTCATTCAAGGTTATCCCGCCTTACACCTTAAAGCCAAACTGAATCAAAATCAGACCAAATTTACTGGAGTTGTGTTTACAGACACACATGTGCATATAAATATTGAACAAATAGTGCTTTTTGCCTCTAGGGACATCAAAATGAAAAAGTAAATCGGTCCCAGGTTTATGGCTTACCATGCCTACTGCTACTTTCCTATATTATTGTAATTAGCTAAAAAGAGGCGTAACGGAGTGGTTGAGGTACAGTAGACTCCTTATCCGGACCACCTTTTAACCCGACATCGGTTTAACACGTTCACTGCGGGCGTATCCGATCGGATACGGGCCGAGCGCTGTTCAGACGCTGCCGTAACCGATCGGATACGCTAGGCAATGCCTTTTCGTATATCATCGTTTTTGTTCTAGCGCCGGTCGAAGGCAGACCAATTCCACGTTAGCGTGTAGTGGGTGACTTGCTTTTTGTTGTGTTGTAGGTTGGTAGTAAAATTTCCCCATTAAATCCCCGTCTGGTAAATTTAAAACTCAACTTGTTGTCCCGTCTTTCTCCCTCCAATTGGCAATACGATCGGACCGGCTACGTTCCAAGCAGTGCTGCTATATGTGAGTGTTTAGCGAACTACGTCGACTCTTGTTATAAAACAGGACATCACCGCACGTTATTTGCTATTCGTCATACCGACATATGAGAGCCAAACACCCAGCAATCGGGTTTGTTCGACGCTGCGGGCTGCGCCGCGTTGAGGCTACGCCTGCCATTTGATGGCCCGCAGCGAACGTGTTAACCGGACTACACTCGGCGGAAACGGCATCTCTTTAACCGGACAATTTTATCAGCACGTCGGTTTAACTGGACTAGATCGACAAGAAGTGGGCGGTACTGAAATGACTGTTCTCGTGGGAAAGATTTGAGACCAGTGATCACTTGTCTAAATACAATGCTATCCTGAATTTAAGTCAAATATTTGGGTTACAAAACGAGTTTTTGGGGACGTCGGTTTAACCGGAAAACCCGTTATCTGGACTGGCCTCGGTCCCGAGGAGTGCGGATAAGAGGGAGTTTATTGTAGTATTAGATAATAAAAAGTTGTGTTTTTACCGATAAATATTTCTATAGTAATTATTATTAAGAAAACTTGCACTACCTAAAATATGCCGTTGTCAGGGAAATTACCAGAAAAAAGTTAGTGAATTCACAAATATATTCTTT